GTAACACAGAGTGATTTCTACTGTACTTAATGACTGGTCTTTTGTGACTGTAAATTCTCAGAGAAGATGAAGAATTTTCATTGGGTTCTGTTAAGTGTGTGTTTTCTGATGAAATGTGAGAGGGCTCATTTTAAATGAGAGCTCCTTCTGTATCTGCTGCCAGCTGCATGTTCTTGTCTGTGATATTTGTAGACTTAATTGCCAGTCACAAAAACTGGAAAAGGCAGACTGTGCAGTCTGTTTTTTTCTGCAATTTTTCTACTAGGGGATTTAATTACAAAATAATGGTGAATCTCCCCCCGCCCTCCCTCTCCCCTTTCCCCCCAAAAAGGATCTTTAATAGTAAGTCTTCCAAAGGTTTGGCTACCAGGAGAGGTTTTTAGTGTTTTTAATGAGATAAGGATATTTGCAAAATCATGCATTAGGCTTGCTCTTTGTTTTCTTCCACTGATTTCTTATGCAAGTCATGCTTTTTTCATATAAAAGAACACAATTAAACTTGTATAGAACATAATGACATATGTAGACTTGTACAGTGTTGTAAGACTGTGGGTGAGAAGGACAGTGATGCTTGCAGCTTAGTTAGTACATGCTATAGGATTAAAACTGAATTTCAGCTTTATTTAATTTTCTGAGTTTTGTTTTTGAAAACATCTTGTAATTTCTAATTGGCTTCTTTACTGATGCTGTTGCTTGGAATTTGCTTACCTTGTGACTAAACCACGCTCATTTTCTTTTGCCTTTTAAAAGACTACCTGCCTGGGACAACTCCTGGAAGTGTTCCCTAACTCCTGGTTGATGTCTCTGATGTAGTAAGGTCAAATATAAGATTCACTTAATTTTATATCATTGGACTTCTATTTATATTTCAGAATTTGTCATACTTGTGTTTATTCATACCTTAAGTGTTACTAGATCTATGTAATAGAAAGCCAAATTGTTTTTCTTCTCTTTCTGTTGAGGAATTTTTAAACATGTCTGGAATTTCCGTCATATGATTGATACTTGGTAATCCTAGTTTCTGAAGATGTTGGCTATGCTTCTGGACTTTGTCTTTCAACTGACTTTTTTTTTTTTTTTTCCTGTATACCATTCTTCCAAAGGCAGCATAGATTCACTTTTGTTGAAAAGAAAGATTAATGTAATCAGATAAGTGTAAGTACCTGTAAATGGATTACACTGCAGGAACATTCAGTGGATAAGTAGTTTATTTAAAAGATTGAAAGCAAAAGTTGTTTGTTTGTTTGTTTTGTGGGTTTTTTGTACAGACCAGTAGGAAAGTGAGTTATGTAGCTGGCTTACCTCTTCTGTCTGCCTGCACTCTGCTCAGTTAAATGATAGGATTACACTTAGACAAATTCTTTCTAAATTTATTTCTGAAACTGGAGTTTAAATGGCCTCAGTGTTGAGGTTTGTTCACTGCATAGCATCTGAAATACAGGCTTCCCAGACCCTGGCTTCCTGCAGTAACACAACTCAGCCCAGTTTTCCTACACAGTGTTTACACTGTTAAAATTCATGGTCTTCCTTTGTGGTGGAGGAACCAGTCCATAGTGTATTAGGGTCTGAGCTGTTATACTCAAAACATTACTTCCATTTTAAAGACAAAGACTGTTACTGAGTTAAGTCTGAAATTCATCAGGCATCCTGAATTATGCTGAATGGATGGAATCTCAGCCTTTGGTTTGAGTAGGTGTAATATTTGCCAAGGTTCCTCCTTTTATATGGAGCTGCTTTTGAGCACTCTAGAATGGTTAAGACTTGAAGTGCTCCTCCTTTGCACTAGGAAAACCTGGTTAGATTTTTAGTCACTGATATAGTTAATCATTCTGCTGATGTTTGTAATTTGGGAAAACCAGAAAATGTTGAGACAGGTGAGTACCTTCAAAATAAGGCACATGCCTCAGGATCTCTTGTTGCTGTCTGCTGTGTGTTGGAGTGCTTCTACCTGTTTTGTAGGGTGAGAGTGTAGTTTTATTGATGTTTTTAAGTGTTGTTTTTTTTTTTTTTTTTCTGTATACTTTGGCTTGAAGATGAAGCAGAAAGTTTTTGCTTTAACTCTAGGGAAGGAAAAGGAGAACAATACTGGTGGTGTGACTTGGGGCTGGATGAGCTGGCATGTAGCAGGTTTGGAAAGTGGTCAGCAAAACCTGTTCACTCAGTGTCCTAAGAGCTATGATTTGGCACCCTCTTCCCACTGTACGTGGTATTTGTTTGCTCATCCCTTGATCATGCATTGTGTGTCTAAAGTGGAATTGTCAAATTCCACTTTCATCACATTTTTCTGTCACCGGTGTTGGCCTTGGCCCCTTGAACTACAGAACAGATGACTGAGACCACTTTTCTAGGCAGTAGATGGAAGGTTGTTGAGATAGAAATGCATGACACTATCATCTCCATCTGAAACACTGAAGAGCATTCGTAAATGCGGAGGCGCTTCATTATTGTATGGAAAGGCCTGTTCCCTCGTGCCTATGGTGAGAAGGATGGCAGCATCTTTTCCATGTGGCGTAAAGGTAGAGATTATTTAGATCTCGGTCTGCAGAGCCTCACAGCAAGGCGTTTACGTGGTGAATATCAGCTGGTAAGCAGAACGTGCACCATCAACTGGCAAGATAGTTCTTGGTGAGATTGGTACTATTGGACTAACAAATATATTAATTTAAGGTCTTGATGGCATTTTTGAATTAAACTTTTTTTGGAAAGAAGTGTAAAATTGGTAGCTGTTAACAAGTACGGAAGAAATCAAATGTTGTTACTGGCCAGCTGCCATATCTAGGTTGAGAATTTATACATTTGAATATAAACAGAAACCATAACAGTCACTTGAAGCTTTCTTACAGCTCCTATCTGTAGAGCTATTTTTAATAGAGAAGTACAGGTGCACAGCTTGAGGAGGGGGAGGCAGACTGCTATTTCTGTGCTGTAGAGTGGGTTGGAGATTTATTTGTGTTTTCTTCAGAGGCCTTTTGTAGAGAATTTTGCTCAGTCTGATAACTCTTATAGGTGATCTGATTGAAAACATGATTATAATTTGCTGTACCCAGTTGCTTAGTGCTTTGACGCTACTATTCCTCTGGATGGGAGAAATTGCACCACTGTTCAAGCTAGGGGAGATTTTCACACTGGGGAACACAAGTTCCCTGTTCTGGGACAGATTCATGAATACTATGTTAATTATAAAGAATATAATAATGAAATAATGTGGATTTGGACTTTTTTTTCAACAAATCTTCTAATTGCAAGGAAGCAGATTTTGTTTTATTAATCTCTTCTGAATATCAAGTTAGTTGCTGAAGTCTTTGTGTTCACGTTAGGTATCACGAGGTCTTGACTTTTAACATTATCAATCTAGATTTTTAACTCATTTGACAGCATTTTGTCTGCATAATTTTCCTTCTTCCTAATTTGCCAAAAAATATACTGGGAGAAATATTGAGAAACTGTAAGACTGTTTTCTGCTTCGTGTTCTGGCATAGTTATGCTAAGGATAGGCAGATATTACGTGTTGACATTTGTAATAGGAGAACAGCAGGGAGCCCATATTACAATCAGCTCTTGACAGGATTGCATCAGAAGCGTAAATGGATGGGCATTTTCAGCTGCAGGGCTTTTAGAGATAAATCTCGCCTTTTGAGGAGCAGAAATTAGTGCTGCATGATGCACATTGTTGCCTTTGTCTTAAGTCTGCGCAGCAGCTGACACGTCTCTGATTTGCAGCTGATTTGCTGCTTGGGCATATGTCGCCTGTGATGGGGGGAGGGAGCTTTTCTCCTTGGGGTTTCACAACAATGAGACCATCATTTTGGTTCCTACCAGAGAGATAAGTATTTTTTCCTCCCTCTATTACCTTGTCAGTCTGATGCTTTCATCAAACAGATTTCCAAGCACTTTCAACTCTAAGTGATGGAAACCACACTTGATTTCTAATTAAAATGTCAATCCAGGACTGCTTGGTAACCCAGCTGTGAACCTCTAACTGGAGGACAGCTAAGCCTTGCTCTAACACTTACGCCTTTGTGGTCAGTGGTAATAAATGCATCTTCAAAAATCTCCTGCTGGGACATGCTTGAGAGTAGTGTTTTTCCTCTATCTGGTGGGATATTCTGGCAGGAGGAGTTGGAGCAGATGCAGCTTCAGTCTGAGAGCTGGCACTGAACCCCTGGTTCTTTGTTTAGAAAAATTGGAGTTGTTGGCGTAGCAATCTGCTTTCTGTCCCGCTGTTACTGGTCTTAAAGATGTAAAACTGGTGGGACAGGAGGAGTCGTGGTTGAAAAATCCCTCTGGAGGAGACTTGTCTTCAGGGCAGAATCCTTAAGGCTTTCCCTGCCCTGAACAGAGGACTGGGCAGGGTGGGTTTGATCCCATCAGAACGGTTGCACAGTTCTTTGATTTTTGGCAGTGAGAGATAGTAACGTGCTGCTGCTTTCTCAGCTGCAGACTCATTTTCCTGTCCTGCTTTACACGTGCATGCTCTGCAGTAACTTCCACATGAGGGCTTCTCTCATTGCTCTGGCTCCCTTGTTGGCTTCTGGAAACAATATTGTTTCAGCCCCTTCGGTAACAGGGAGAAATGATTCCTAACATCTGATAAATTGTTTAGTAGTATTGTGAATTGTGTGCTTTTTTTTTTACGAAATAATAGCAAAAATCTTTGTTAAGAGTTATGCTGGATTGGATATGGTGAGTGGTTGGATCCTTCTAGTTTGCCCATCCTAATTGTTCTGTATCTTCCTCTAATTGGATAACTTTTGACACACAGCCTGTTTTTTGTGCACTCTCTGGGATGAAAAGAAGCAAGCATATTTCAGCACCATTTTGTCAATGGTCCACAGCATTTCTATCTGTCCTCTGAACCAAGGTTGTAATTGTAATCTGAAGATGGCATATGATGCATTCGTCTGAATGAAACTTCAGATTTTTTGCTCTTAGGGTGATACTGCATTCTGGTTTGCAAGTCTGCCTAGAGATCTCGTAACAATTACTTTCCTGTCTTTCAGGTCTTGATAGCTGATGACTATTCAGATCCATTTGATGCCAAAAGTGAGTTGAACAAAATGGTTAAAGGAGAGAACACTGGCTATATGGAACCATATGAAGCCCAGAGAATAATGACAGGTAAGAAAAGAAAATTGCACACGGAAGATTTAGCTGCATGACAGTTCACTTGGATATTAGAACTGCTGTGAAACAAAAATGTCTTTTGACATGCAAAACTGTTTTGTTTCTGAAAATGTCAGATAGTAACAGTAACTGCTGTGAAGGCTTTTCATGTGCTTGAACCTGCCTTGATATCTGAAAATACTGCTCTGGAGCTGGCTGTCAAATATAGATAGTTTGTACTGTCATGTAGTGAAGTGAAAAAGTGATCATGGACGCTGGAGTCTGCGTTGCCCTGCTTGGTAATGACAAGGTTATCATCTGTGTACATAGCAAGAATAGCTAAAGCACAGTGTTGAATTAGAAGATTACAATAGGGTGAATTAATGCAACAATTGATCAATTTGCTTATGGCCATTTTTTCCTCCTTCACATTCGGTCTTCTCAGCTTTCTCTGTTGCAGGAAAGCTGCAGAGCTACATCTTTGTTTCCTCCTTCCTTCTCTAGTGGTTTTCTGTGACCATGCATGAAATGAGACACTTTAGGATGCTTGTGAGCATTTTAAGTGATGTTCTTGGTAGTTGTCTTCCTACTGTGTTACGAAGGGAAGTGGTTTGTAATTGCAGAGTTGTAGGAATTTGGAGTGATCCCTTTGTCCTGTCATCATATGCTATCTTGTCTGCATGTTTCTCTGATATTATCTGCATCCATTCCCTATTTGTTGGCTGTGTAGTCTAAAAGTTTCTGAAGTCTGCAGACATAAATTTTTAAACTTACAATGATTTCATGCAGTACATACCTTTGTGCAGATAGGTTGTGCTTTTCTTGTATTTCTGCAGCTGATCCTTTTACTGTCACTGTGAAGTGAAAGTCATACGTGTGCCAGATAAGTTCATTGTATGCTTTCCTTTTCTGTTGAACAGCTCCTGTTTTGGGCATTCAAAACATTAATCCATGGGGAAAGACAAAAGGGTGTTAGATACAGAGATCCATTTTTCGTGCAGATGTTCCCCTTTTTCCCTTCTTAAGTAGATTTTCTGATAGATTTCTCTGATGAAGAAATTTCTTGTTGACTGTATTGCTTGAAATTTCCAATAGACAGACTGGGACATCTTACTCCTTCTTGCTGTACATTTATTCATTCTAGCTGAGTAATCTCAGAAAAACAGATCGGTTGAGATGAATTCTTGCTGCTTGCACACCAGTGCAAGCATCAGTAATTTCAGCTTTGAAGTTTACAGTGCATTGATTTCTCTCTTTCTGTGCTCCTAACAGAAACTTATGCCATCTTCTTTTCCAGGATTAGCCATAATAAATGGATGGTTTATTGTACAATACTGAGTGGCATAGCTATAGTGGATAGTAGATGTGCGTACCCTTGCAAGAAGCTGTCACCCACCCCCTTCACCAACCGTAGTGTTTGTTGCAGCTCATAAACTGTCAAATTTGCTTTGTATTAAAATAAACATTTGTTACAGTCAAACATTATAAGTGCTAAATGCACATTTGAAACTGTGCTCTAACCATGGATAGTGATATAGCAAGTGTTCTAAATATGTTTGATTGATCCAGTAGAAAACGCGTGAAACTTTACTGAAGACATTTAGTGTGTTGAGATCTGGGTGATTAGATTCCAGTCATCTTGCCCAGATGTGGGTAGAAATAAAGTCTCTTTGTAAGTCTCTCTGAGATCAGGTTATATTCCATTGTTTTCAAGCATGTGTTTTTATATTTGTTTATTGGAATTTACATTTGTTTTACTTGACAAAGGAAAAAATAAAGATGTCTTTTTGGGCAGTTCTTGTAGTTTGTATTTCCTGGGTGAATTTTAGTATTTAGTACTTGTAAAGAAATCATTTGGATTATAGTCTGGCCTCAGCGTTTGGTTTGCTGCTTTGTTTGTGGTGTTTGTTAGCCATACTCTCTGATGTGGATGTTTATATGGCTGTCTGTTCAGCTTAACTTACATAGTGAAGTGCTTCTTGACTGTGTTAAGGATGGGCTAATTCCAAATGGGGGCAATCTGCTTACTGCTTCAAAATGCAATTAAAGGGAACCAGTTAAAAGAGTTTGTCTCCATGCTTTGTGGTCGTTAATTGAAAATTTTAAATTGTTCTTGAGATGCAGTATTAAACATGCAGAGGACAGTATAAGGGAAACAACCTGTCTTGTGGCTTGATAGAGAGGAGTATGCCCTAATTGACATGCGCTAGCCTTTCACTATGAGCTAGTTAAAAAGCTGAGAGAAATCTAGGTGATTTCTTTTCCCTATCAAAATTCCATACGACTGTATCACTGCCACGTAAGCTTTGCTGTGGGGAGCTCAAAAGGGGGTAGTGCCTTTCCCCCACCTTATGACAACTACATGTGGTGACTCAGCTCTTCCAGGTATCTGTGCTTCTCAGAAGGAATTAGTCAGATCTTCAGACCATGTGCCACGCTTCTGATCAAATGCCAATTCAAAGCAACACATAGCTATCTTTTTGTTGGACCACACAGCTCATAAGAACCTCACATTATATTGCTTAGATGGAGTGTCAGCCTTTCAAGGTATCACAAGGAATGATGGCAACAAGAATGAGATAAAAGGGCAACAGATAGAGTCTATTTAACTTACTGTTTGGCTTTGGAGGGAGCTTCTTACCTCCAACGTATGATTCGTGACTACTCAGTGCCTGACATGACAAATGCTGTCATACAAAAAAAGAAAAAAAATGTATTTGAATAATTCGAAAACGGAGGATAGTTAGTCTCAAACTGGTTTGGAATCAATTTATCCAAAATGTGTGGATTGTTTTTTTTTTTTTTTTTTACTAGAGAGGAAGAAGTACTATCAATGAGGGTATGGCTGTGTAAAAGCACACTTTGAGAAATGTGTTGGCAGCAGAAAACCACTGTCCTTTCCTGATCAGAAGCACTGTTTTCTCTGTGCTGGAATGGGGAATTAAGGAAGATTTGGGCAAACAAGGCCTTTTAGCATGGATCTTGGTTAGGAAGTTGAGATAAGCATGTAGTAAGTACATCAGTGCTCTCATTTCTTAGAGGTTTTAATAGGGCCTTAAGACTGTGCTGTGCCTTGCAATTTAAATGTGCCCCTTGTTTTTGTTTTGCTTTTTTAGACATCACTTAGTACTCTGCCAGAGGCTTCGGTCTCTGCTTAGGGCTGTGGTCTCTCTTTCATGTATCTACCTCGGGGAGATGCAGTAGACAGGGAGAAAACCCACCTCTTGTATTTCAGACTGCTACAGATTACAGTGGATGGCATTTCTGAAAATAGTCACCTTTTCTGAGATGCAGCTTGCCTTGTGTTCTATGTATAGTAAATGCTATGTTGTGAACAGGCTTCAGAAGTCCGTCACAATGCAATTGGTAAAATACACACTGGGACTGTCTTCTCTGGAGGCATTCAGGCTAGGTTGGATGGGGTGCTAAGCAGCCTGATCTAGTGTGTATTAGCCCTGCCCATTGTAGAGGGTTGGAACTAGGTGATGCTTAAGGTCTCTCCCAACATAAGCCATTTTACAATTCTGTTAGGGATAACTTCAGAGGCAACTCAAGGCTATTTCAGGAAAATTAAAGGCAAATGTTTGATATAGGGCAGTAGGAATTCTGCTTTGTTTTTTGATGTATTTCTTGCAAGAAAGTACTTGCTTAGTTGTCCTTGAACTGGACGTGTTAGATCTTGTAAGTAGGATATGCTGACTCACAAGATGTATGGAGGTGCCAATGTACATGCTTTTGAGTTGGTCCTGAATCAGCACAGCAGCATGCTAGACTCAAGGTGTTGGAAAGACTTCCAGTGAATGCTTTAGAATATTTGATTCAAATGCCTGTTGTCATCTTACAGTCTTGCCTGTGGTTTTCAACAACTTCAAGCTGGGTGATGGCACATAAAATCACTGTCATAGAATGGCCTGGATCAAAAAGGATCTCAAAGATCATTCAACCCCCCTGCCACAGGCAGGATCGCCAGCTGCTAGGCCATGCTGCTCACAGCCACATCCTGCCTGGGATCTACACCATTAGTAAAGCTTTGCAGGTGATACTAATGAGGATTTCAAGTAAAAATTCACTGGTTTGTCCACAGGCTCACAGCATTACCATTCTCCTCTCTTTTCTTTTTTTTTGTATATTTATTGCCTGGTTTCTATCCACGTCATTCTAACTATGCAGCAGAAGAACAGTGAACAAGTTTGACTTTCTGACACCAAGGGTTTTTGTGCAGAAAGCATGCAGCCAGTGCTAGAACAGCAGACACCTTCATACACTTCATTGCTTTCTTTTCTAGGTACTGAGGACTAGGTAGGAGTCCATGCCTGAGTTATGGCAGCATCTCCAATGCATGACAGACAGCCTAGGAAGAACAACCTCATCTGTCTTAACTGGGAGCTCCCCATGGGGCATCCTGGGAGCAGTAGGACTGTCTTCCTTCAGGCTATCACAGAAATGCTGGGAGTGTACAGAAAGCAGCATTCCCATGAACCTGCACCTACTTCAGAAGGCCTTGAGTGTCAGTTTCCCCTGTAACTAAAGAGGCTGTTTTTTTGTTCAGACATGTAGCTTCATCTGAATAGTCACTACAGCGCACTGGTGGTGAGTCAGGTCTTGTAAAATCCTTCTTCCTTCACCAGGTTGCCTCTGGCACGTTGTTTGCTGGCGCCAAGTTTCCAGCTGCAAATAATGCAAAAAAGAACAATGATAATTGCTTTGATAAATACTAGCCTGGATATAGTAGTGTATAGCATGAAATGTTTAGAAAAAAAAATTTCTGGCCTCTTCAAGGTGGCTGAGCTGAGTAAACCAACCAGTGATCTTTCAGCATTATAATGGCCCTGCAGTTTAAGAATTGCTATTTGCTTGCACTCAAATACTGAAATCAGCTCTAGCCAACATGTTAGTGTGCTTATCCACTAAGCTTTACGGTGGATGTAGTTTTGAAAAAATCTTCAAGTTGGTTCTCTTGCACCTACATTTGTGTGTGCTCCAGTTATAGATTCTGCTTGAAAGTTTTATATTGT